TTACTAATTTTCCGAAGTTTTTATTTCCTAACAATAAGTGCGCCGATTTTCGAGTATTTTCCAATTCTGCACCGTGCTTCACTATCGGTTCGGTTATTCGTTTGAAACTGGCTACCCCGAAAATATCGTGAGTGGCTGCTTTCATAGTCCGCCGGCGTGCGTGCCGGCGTGCCGAGGCAGTGCTAGGGGGAAGGAGGGAGGCAGGCGGTCGGTCAGCTCCTTCGAAGGGCTGAAAACAAGGAAGAACAAGATCAAAAACCAAACAACCAAGGGCTCGTGCAAATGGTTTCTGATCTTGTCTCTCTTGCGACGCCTTGGCGAAGCCGATCCCGATAGTGGTCATCCAACTATTCGAGAAGATGAAGGTTTCACGGTATGCAATGAGCAACTTCAGGTTTTCAACTCTATCCGTCTCAACTTACCTGTCTAAAAAAAGGCATGTTCACTTGTAGAATTATTGAGCACGTCCAGTCCAGCTCGTTCGGTCTTTTTGCTAAATCTTAATCTTTTCTAACCTCTTTTTTGGCTGTTCTTTAGGTTATCCTTTTTGACTTTTACCATTTGACAGTGTTTTTGTCTGCTAGCAGGTACATGTTCAGGACGCTGGTGATGAAAGCCCCGTAAGTCCATTCTTCTCTCCGCGAACTTCAGCTTCAGTTGCGCAAAACAAGACTTCTTCGTTGCGTACCATTTTAAGCAAGTTTTTTTTTGATATTGGTCAAGTCGTTGATGCTTGAACTATACTGAGTGGCCTCTTTCCTTCAAACGAGTTCATTAGTATTCATGTATCCGTGGATAAATGTGGCCGGTTTGATTCGCCAACGTTTCAGATAAATGAATTTTTTTTCTTTGATTATGAGCGATGAAACGTTTCTTTAATGATGTTGCGACAAGGCTAACTGAGCTTCGCTTCAATTCAGTTTTGGCATCATGTTTCCGATCCCTTTTTCTTGCTAGGTGAATAATCTAGTGAAGCTTATTGAGATGAGTTGTCGAGATGCCCTCACACTGGCTTCCACAAATTATCGGAAGTATAGGGCTCGTCATTTTAGGGGTCTTTTTTCTTTACTGGTCGGACCTATCGAATTTTTTATTATCATCTTTTCCGTCGATTGCGAAGTATTGTCTAGGCCGCAGTTTATGGTTTGATCCATTTTTGGCGCAACTGCTGATTGCTTCAGTTCCACTCGAGTAGGTTATTGACAGAGGATTCAACCATAGTCCATGATTTTTGTGGGGCAAGCATTAGCACGATTCTTTTTCACCATTCACGACTACAATAAGTCTTTTGTTTCAACACCATTTATCCATCCTTCTATTGTGTTTTAGGCGAGGAAACTTAAGCCCTAAGAACCGTCTAGGAGTCGCGGGTTGTACACGTTTTTGAGAAATGTCAGAGTCGCAAGGGTCGGTCTACATCTTCGACTTCCTTGACCAACCGGCTCTTGGATGATCGATACCATACCACTCAATAAACCGACCAAGCATTCGCAAAATTTGGCATTCTGTCCGTTCACACCGCCGGCTCACTTCCCAACGCCTCCATATTCTACCACTGTTTTAACCATACTACTCGGCACTTTGCCCTTTCATCATCATACCGTACCACTCAGCTAGATCTTCGGGTGGCTTACTTCTTCGCATTTCGCGACCGGTTGCACTAACCTACCCTCATCACATTCTTCTAAGTTGCTTGATTCATTCTCTGAAAAATCAGATTTTGCGAGAATATTTTTCCTTCCCTATTCAATTCTTCTTGTTTTACGGGTGTGAATATTAGATTTCTTGCCATTAACGTTTTATAAACATCTTGATTGCTTTGGGCTGTTCTCGATTTTTTCTTGTGCGCCGTGCAAATTTTCGATTATTATTCTTCACGTCTCTTAGTCAAAAGTGTGAGTTTTTCATCTCAGCGTTTTTACTCATATTGCTCATGTTTTCATACAATTCTTATTTGTGAACACGTTTTTGATTACTCAAATATATTGTCCTCTCACAAAGTTACTCTAGTTCGACCCGTTTTGTAGGTTCTCGAGTGTTGCCTTTTTGGATTCTGGCCGTCGGGAAATTTAACGGGTGAGTTGCTTGGCTTTTCAAGGTGGCTACCACCATTCGAGATGTCAATGGGCTCGCCCTTTGATAGCCTCTAGCGAGTACTCACTGTTTCTTGCTGGTCTCAGGTTTTACATCTCTACTGTTAGTTTATTAATTTTATTGATTTAGATGTTATTTTACTTCATAGACCTACTTGCTTTTCGTGGAAACATATACTGCAGCTTAAGCCACTGAGTTATTTTTCATTTTTATGTGCTCGATTCATCAATTATTTTAGAACAGCTTTTATTTTTGTTTTGTTGTCTATTTTTGCTCTTGTCTATTTTGAGTGTTAGTTACAAGGTCCTGCCTTCCGTTCCATTTTTAACTGGTCTTAAGTTTACTGTTTTGTTTTGTTTTGTTTTCATTGTTTGTTGGGCATACCATCTGAAAGGAACAATGTTAGGGATGGAGTATGAGGAAGATTGGGTATCAGAGTTGTTACGGTCGTCATCAGCCGTTGGCCAGGAGCGCGTTATCAAGGAGGAGGGCGAAGAACACAGTGAAGTTGCTAACGTAGGGTTCCGATAGGTGCTATAACCCTAACATAAAGGATTCGTTTCACAGAGTGGAAATGTAATTCCTTTCACGGAGGTGGAGGTTGAGCTCATTCTAGAGAGGTATGTAGGCAACTACGATGTCTGCCATCACTCAGTTGTAGGGATGTCGAAGGAAGGGCTATCAGTAAGCAATATTGTTACTGCGATAAGAAGTATCACTGCGAATCGCGTCTGATTGCAGGCCAAAAAAGAGCTGAGGATAGAAGAGTCACCCTTCCGCGTCTTAGCGCGCCTCAGAGGCGCGCTTTTACGGCCCTGCAGAAGAGGCCGAGGGTCGTGGGATTGAAACAAGGGGTGGAGGTCGCCAGAGTGCAGAAAAGGTAGTTTTGACTGCGTTCTATGACGACTGAAATCTATGCAAGAATTTTTTTACAGCGCAGGAGGCTGGAGTCTCTTTCGCCCTCGTCTTCACCGTCCCCTTCACACCCGCAGGTACTGTCCCTTCGGGCTCACAAGCAAGAGAGGCGGGGAAGGAGCAGTCTGCGAGTACGCAGGGAGGCATTCGGCGAGGATCGAGATCTTGCGGCACGAGTTGGAAAACCAGCAACTCAAAAAGGAGCTGATTAATGAAAAGCTCCACCTCGCCGACTCGCAGATAGAATACTAGTCCAAAAGGTTCAGAGTCTAGGAAAAATGGAGGACAGAAAAGAGGATTAATCTCTCGGAGCAATGTGTAGAATGGATTGGTCTTGAATGTCAATTGCTTTCAGGTAACCATCACATCATCAGGGTTGATCTACGCTCGCCGATACTCATTTAGGATCTCACTTAACTGAGCTTATGTGTGTTCATTATAAATGTTATTCTTTTTACATATGTACGTATGTTGTTACATATGTTTTTTTACATGACATGTGTTCTTTTCACATATACATGCGTTCATAAATAAAAAGTAATTGTGTAGCTTCATGTTCAGAAAAAAAAGACAATCCAAGGAAACATATATTAGGTTGGAAGATAAGTCCTGCATCACTGAACACGTTCCCCCAGGAAAACCAAAGCCTCTTACAAAAGTTTGCGCACCTGATTCCTATAGAGCGTTTGTGAAGGATTTTGAAAATAAATATAAAAGGGCTCGTGAAAAGGTTCCTCATGAACTACGCCTGTCTGACCATGAACTACACTTGTCTGACAAGAAGAATAGCATGCACGTGGCTGATTTTCTTCTGCTTCGTCCCAATGGAAAGGACTTACAAGGCATAGTGACCGTAGATGAGAGCCTTTCGTGAACCATACACATGAGCGCCACTGGGCTGCGCGAAGAGAAAAGCCACCTACGGAAAGTAGACCTTCATGCGAAGATGGTTTATTGTGTTGCTGGTGGGACTGCGGTGAAATGATCTAGACAGTAGCACTACAGTGATGGCCACAGTCCACGCTAACCAGCTGCAAAAAGTGGCCGACGTGATGCGAAGGCTACGGCCGTAAAGGCTCAATGTCTTCCTACTCCACGACAACGCACGTCTGGATCTGGCCAACTAAACGCGTCAAAAAATTACGAGACTCGATTAGGAAGTACTGTTGCCTCCGGCTTACTTAGCACCCTCTGGTCATGGCGCCCTCTGGTCATCTGCTATTCAGAGCGCTAAAGCACCATCTAAAGGACAAAAATTTGATGATCTTCGTCAACTCGAAAACGAAATCGAACCCTATTTCGCGGCCAGCGAAATCCTGGAGAAGAGGGATCGAGTAGCTGCCTGAAAGATGGGCACATACCCTAGATAATAATGGTGGTTATATATTAGATTGAAGGTATCGTTTAGTAAAGAAATACAAAATTCAAAAATTCATCCAAAGGGTTGCAGAACTTATCTTCCAACCTAATATAATAAATACAATGAAGTAAATCTTCTGCACAAAGGAGAGCAATAGGCGAAGCACTCGTAATACAGATATATAATTGGTAAACTCGTAATTGATAACCTTCATGAAATTTCTCAGTCTGGGTTGGAGAAGTAGTGGCTAAAAAAGTGATGAATATTGCTTAGTAATTTAGTATTTTATAGCAATCAGTAGTAATTAAGTTATCAGGTAGTCAGCAGAAATTATGTAGGCTATGCAGTTTGTAGTGATTTGGTTTTTACCTTGAAAGTAGCGAGATATAAGGCCGTTCCTGAAAGAGATGGCACTTCATTTGGGGGACTTCATGGGAGGCTTCGGACGGAACCTTTTCGCCTTCCTGGTCATCCCCAGTGTAGCCGACAAAATCGATTGGTTCGTTTCGACTTATTGCAATATTGCGAAGCACGCAACATGCCACTATTATTCAAGTTGCTTTTGCTGGAGAATACCTATAGCGGATTTATTCAGAAGAACAACTGTTAAAAAAGCAATCTTCGGTTGTTTTCACCTGCATTCGGCGTGGAACTGTCGCTTCAGAATCTCAAAAGCGTGCTCTACCAGAACGCGAGCGGAGCAAATGGCTCTATTGTAGCGTTCCTCTGCAAAGAATAATTCGGCGATGGAATTATAAAGGTAATTGATAATCAGTACCCTGTCTAGTCCTAGTAGTGTTGAGCGGCTTCCACAGAACGGCTCCGCTGCATAGGCTGAATCCCTTAACGGAACGCCCTTAACTTCTTCTCTTTTCAGCTGCTCGTATAGCAGCGATGTCTTGAAATTGCGGGAATCATCCTGGTCATTTGGCGCACACCCATCTTATTTTCATATCGTAGTCAACCACGATTCTTTTATTAAGGATATGACATCCTTCCCTGCATATGTTATCTCTCTCGGCATATTTAGGTCTTTGGATGCGGCAGTGAGTACCGTCAATAATCCTAGTTTTCCTGGAAGAGCATATTTTTAGAAAGAGTTACTGGTATTCAAGCCTCTTGCTCATCCGGCCAATTCATGAATTGAGTGGCTCTTCGGTTGATAGCATTAACGAATGCCATTAAAACACGCGAGACTGTAGATTGATGGCAGCCAGCAAGTCTAGCCGAATCGCTCTGCATCACGTTTCTTCCAAGTATATGAATGGCAATGGCCACTTGATCAGCCACAGGCAAATCAGTTGTATGCCTTCCGTGCTCGAGGTCCGGTGCCACCATCTCACAAATTCCAAGAAAACGTGACGAGAAAACCGGTCCTTGCTGATTCCACATCGCTCGAAGCCTCGTAGGGACGTGTTCTATCTCAAATTGTTCAAGGCACAGAGACTCTTCCATACTTCTGGACAAGATCAAGGGTTTCGATCACCTCCATCTTACCTAGAAATTGCATCTTTACAAGAGTTTATTCATGGATACAACTGTGACAAAAAACAAATGATAAGACAAGCAAGGTTATTTTTGCGAAGGCAATTTTGAACCTCAGAGGTTACCATTGATCATCTAGTTCTCTTAAATTCAGTTATAACCTAATTCTATAAATCCAGGAAAAAACGGCACCAGAAGGCTCGATAAATGATCTTAACAAAAAGCATGAAGACTAAAACGAATATTTTAGGCGAAGAAAGGAACACCCTCTGAAATAAACGGCTAACCCAAATCAGTTACTTGAATGGAGATAAGTGAACATTTCTCAAACAAGACAGGGAAAATCATGGTCAAAGGGAACAGTTGAATCGAGAAGAACGACAAAGGGAGTTGAAACTAATAATTGGAATCTAAGAAATGCAGAGCTTAATGACTTACCTTTCAACGTCAATGAAGCAATGGGCTACGAGAACAAGATCGTTTTGAATGAGATTGCTATCTGACAAGGGAAGGATACTTGGTCGCAGTGGCCATTCAAGATGAGATGTATATCCCCCTAGGTGGTTTCGAACGCTGATCTCAAATCTGTGTTCCAAATCTGCGAAACGATTCTGGGAACAAAGTTACGGGACCGATGCCTCCCTGTGTTATACCACTGTACCGAACGGATCACCGAGCCGAGCAAAGCTGT